TGGTTGTGTAATTATTTTAAATTATGGGGGGGCCTACATGGGTTTAATGATATTTTTAATTTATTTGGGGGGTATAATAGTTGTTTTTGGCTATACTGCGGCGATGGCTATTGAAGAGTATCCTGAGACATGAGGCTCAGGGTTTGAGGTTCTAGGGGGTCTTTTGGTGGGATTAATAATGGAAGTAGTACTAATTTTATGGGTTTTAAGTTTTGATGGAGTAGTGGTGGTGGTTAATTTTAATAATATGGGTAGTTGGGCGATTTTTGAGGGGGAATGATCAGGGTTAGTTCGAGGCGATTCTATTGGTGCGGGTGCCTTGTATGATTATGGGCGTTGATTAGTGGTGGTTGCTGGTTGAACGTTGTTTGTTGGTGTATATATTGTGATTGAGATTACTCGAGGTAATAGGCTATATTATTAGAAGTAGAGTTAGGGTAAGGGGAATGAGGAAAGAGAGGAAGTAGAGTTTGATTATGCCTTTCTGGGTAGTTACAGTTATGGAAGCAGTAATATGTGTTTGTGAGATTATTTTGGGTATAGATTTCTCTAGTCACGTTGAATCTAATAGGAGAAGGGCTAAATTTTGACTTATAAATAGGTGTTGATAGGGAACTATACGGTGGACTGTGGTGGGAAAGTATCCTAGTATATTGGAGAATTTGAATATTTGTGATGGATTTTTTACTTTTAGTTTGTTGGTTATAAGGGCGAGGTCTAGGGCTGTTAGGAAGCCGAGGGCAGTTGCGCATAAGGCTGAGAATTTTAGATAGGAGGGTATTGTTGGTTGGGGAAGTGAGGTAGGGGGGATATTGTTGGTGATAAGGAATCCTGCAATTATACTGCCTATTATGAGGCGTTTAATTGGGTTTAATAGGGCGGGGTTGTTTTCGTTGATGCTTATTAGGATTGGGAAGCGGGGTTGTCCTGTTAGGGTAAGGAGAATGGTTCGAGTACTGTAGGCGCTTGTTAGGGAGGTGGCGATGAGAGTAATAGATAGGGCTCAGGCGTTGGTATATGACGTATTTGTGGCTTCGATAATGAGGTCTTTGGAATAGAAGCCTGTGAGGAAGGGTATTCCCGTGAGTGCTAGGTTGCCAATAACTAGGGAAGTTGAGGTGAGGGGCATTGTTTTAAATAGACCACCTATTTTTCGGATGTCTTGATCGTTATTTAAGTTATGGATAATAGATCCAGAGCACATAAAGAGTATAGCTTTGAAGAAGGCATGAGTGCAGATGTGTAGGAATGCTAAGTGTGGTTGGTTAATACCAATAGTGACTATTATTAGACCTAGTTGACTTGAGGTGGAGAAGGCCACGATTTTTTTGATATCATTTTGTGTGAGGGCGCAGATGGCTATGAATAGGGTAGTAATAGCTCCTAGACATAGTATGAGGTTTTGGATTAGTGTGTTGCTTTCTATTAAAGGGTGAAAGCGAATAAGTAGGAATACTCCGGCAACAACTATGGTGCTGGAGTGAAGTAGGGCTGAGACCGGGGTTGGACCTTCTATGGCAGAGGGTAATCAGGGGTGAAGACCAAATTGAGCTGATTTTCCTGTTGCTGCTAGGAGAAGGCCTACTAGTGGAAGGAGATTTGAGTTGGAGTTTAGAGCCAGTATTTGTTGAAAGTCTCACGAGTTATAATGCAGGAGGAATCATGTTATAGCCAGGATAAGACCAATGTCGCCGATGTGGTTATATAGGATTGCTTGGATGGCTGCTGTGTTGGCGTCTGCTCGAGCGTACCATCAGCTGATTAGAAGGAAGGATATGATTCCTACACCCTCTCAACCAATGAAGAGTTGGAAAAGGTTGTTGGCGGTGACTAGAATTAGTATGGCAGTGAGAAAAATGAGGAGATATTTGAAGAATTGATTGATGTTTGGGTCTGAGTTTATGTATCATAGTGAGAATTCTATAATAGATCAGGTGATGAATAGTGCGATTGGAATAAATATTATAGAAAAGTAGTCTAGTTTAAAGCTTAGTGTTAGATCTAATGTTTGGGTTGTTATTCAGTGTCAGCTTCAAATGGTTGTTTCTTGATTTGAGAAAATGTATAGGGTTATTGGAAGAAGGCTAGTAATAAAGGCATATATTATAGTTATCTTTACATAGTTTGGGTATGAGCGTTTTTTTGTCAGGATTAATGAGGGTGGCAAAAATTGGAAGAGTTAGGGAGGCGAGGGTTGTTATTATGATAGAGGTGCACATAATTATTACTTTTATTTGGAGTTGCACCAATGTTTTTGGCTCCTAAGGCCAGTGGATAGCTGTTATCCTTTAAAAGTTGAGAAAGCCGTAATTTTAAGTACGGGGGCATGGGTTAGCAGTCCTTGCAAGTTTTCTCGGTAAATAAGAAGTAGTAAGCTTCTATAGTTAGGTCCACAATCTAATGTTTTGATTAAACTATATTTACAGGGAGTAAGTCCTAGAATGGTGTTGGGATTAAGGGTTAGAAGAATGACTGGGGCAAGGTGTACAAATATTAATGTGTTTTCTCGTGTGAAGGGGGGTTTTATGTTGATTATATGGTGTGTAAGTGTCCCTCGTTGCATTGTGACAAACATGTGGAGAGAGTAGAGGGCTGTAATTAGTATATTGAATCCTGTAAGTATGATAGTAATATGAGATCAAGAAAATGAAGCTGCGATTACAAAGAGCTCACCGAGTAGGTTAATGGTAGGGGGAATGACAAGATTAGCAAGGTTTGCTGTGAACCATCAAAAGGTTATTAATGGGAGTAGGACTTGAAGTCCTTGGGACAGTAATATGATGCGGCTGTGGGTGCGTTCGTAGTTTGAGTTAGCTAGGCAGAAATATATGGAGGAGGTGAGTCCATGGGCAACTATAAGGATAATTGCACCAAAGAAGCTTCAGGGGGGTTGGATGAGGGAGGCTACGATTACTAGGGCTATATGGCTTACGGAGGAGTATGCGATCAGTGATTTCAGGTCTGTTTGTCAAAGACAGATTGAGCTTGTTATGATTATACCTCATAGAGATAATATAAGGAATGGATAGGCTATGTACTCTGTTAAAGGGTTAAGGATAGAAGTGAGTCGTATTATGCCATAGCCACCTAGTTTTAGGAGTACTGCGGCAAGGACTATTGATCCTGCAATGGGGGCTTCGACATGAGCTTTAGGAAGTCATAAGTGTAGGCCATATAGGGGTATTTTTGTCATAAAGGCTATTATGCATGCTAGTCAAGTAAGGTTGTGAGATCAAGTGGTTGCTAGTTTTTGGTCTATAAGTGTTAGTAGTGTGATATTCAATGAGCCTGTGTTATTATAGGTGTAGATTAGTATAATGAGTAGGGGTAGAGAGCCGGTTAGAGTGTAAAATAAAAAGTATGTGTTTGCGTTGAGACATTCTGCTTGGTTACCTCATTTAGTGATGATAATTAGGGTGGGAATGAGGGTAGTTTCATATTCCAATCCCATTTCAACCACTGATGCGGTCATGGATGGGCAAGTTACTTAACACCAGTCTCCTCACCTATAGATGGATGAAGGGGGACAAAACACACATGGAGAGATTTTCCATGAGCGAACACATGAACATGACACATCATAGCATGACCTGATAAATAAGGTACCAGTATTAGCTGCAGTTCAAACACTGTTGTGTTTCTCTTAAGAGTACTGCAGTTGCCTCCCACCAGTCAAAAGTCTTTCTTCCAAATTCACTACCTTCAAAACTAGACTCTGCTGCTGTGATTCTATAATATCTGATTATGTCAGTGTCTTGCTTAAAATGATTCGGTGATGCTTCATAATCATGAAGACAAAATCTAAAACTCGTTGAGAGCCTGCAATTCTTTCAGTCTATCCCTGCCTCCTACAGCCTCTTCTCTCCCAGCCCTATCATGCTCCTTAACTCAACAGTACAGAACAGCCTCCCAGCCTCCCAGCCCCTCTCTCAGGCTCTCATGGCTTTCCCTGAGCTGCTCATTTGATCAGGATGATCCAACCCCTCTTCTCCACATAACTAGCTTAATTTCATCCTTCACACCTCAGCTCAGGCTGAGCTCATCATCTTCCCTCTAAATCTGTCTCTAATCTCCTCCTCTCTCCACTCCTGACATCAGCCTCTTTTCCATGCCCCGGGGCACTCCTCAGATACCTCCATCAGAACAGTAATTAGACTGTAATGTAATTAGCTGACCACATGTCCATCAACCGGAGGAGACTGTATGCTTCCTAAGGCCAGCTGTTTCATCTTTCATTTTGTTTTATACCCAGCTCAACACAGAGTTGGGCATATAGTAGCCACTCCGTAATTACTGTGTTAAAAAAAATGGTGTCAGGGGTTGGTATCAGGGCTAACATTAGTTCAGCCATTACATCCTTACCTTTTAATCAATCAGATAATTTATATCACTATAAATGTATATTTTTTCTAACCATAAATATAATTTAAAATCAATATCTTAGGCCAGACACAGTGGCTCACACCTGTAATCCCAGCACTTTGGGAGGCTGAGGCAGGTGGATCACCTGAGGTAAGGAGTTTGAGATCAGCCTAGCCAACATGGAGAAACCCTGTTTCTACTAAAAATACAAAAATTAGCCAGGCATGGTGGCACTCATCTGTAATCCCAGCTACTTGGGAGGCTGAGGTAGGAGAATTGCTTGAACCCAGGAGTTAGAGATTGCAGTGAGTTGAGATCGCACCACTGCACTGTAGCCTGGGTGACAGAGTGAGAATCTGTCACAAAAAATAAAACAAAATAAAATCAATATCTTGTGTTTTAAATATTGGAGTGTCCTCTTTCTAGAGTCTGGGAAGTTAAATTGCAGAGTATAACATTTCTTTCAAAGCCGAGTCCTCTGCTGTAGAACAACACCAAAGACTGTTACTCATCACTGTCCGATTGCCCAGTTCAGGACCTGAGAGCAGAGTCTGAGAAAAATTGAACTACATGCTGCTTTACCCATGGTTGGTTTCAAATGGACAGCAGCAAATGTGTCTCTGTGTTTTTCCCTGCAGAGGATATATTCCCTTGCAAGTCCTGTGGCATCTGGTATCGGAGTGAGCGGAATCTGCAGGCCCATTTGATGTACTACTGCAGTGGGAGGCAAAGAGAAGCTGCTCCAGTGTCAGAGGAAAATGAAGACAGTGCCCATCAGATTTCCAGCCTGTGCCCCTTCCCACAGTGCACCAAGAGCTTTTCAAATGCTCGAGCTCTAGAAATGCACCTGAATTCACACAGTGGTAAATGCTGCTTTTGTTTCTTCTGTGGCTCCAGAAGACTATTATTTTTATAAATATATATGCATTACATGTATACATCTATATCTATCTATCTGTAGCTATCTATAACATCAAAATCAAACTTTCTGGGTCAACCAGTGTGATCTTATGCCACTTATACTCAGCATATTTTACTCAAAAGATTTGGGTCTTAATTCTTTTCTGACAAATTCAGTGCTCTGACCACAGACCAAATCATTCTATTTGTTTTCGACTGAGGTTTTAAAAAAGCACATTATTTTCAAAAGAAAGTCTCAATACCATTTGAATATTGTCACTTATTGCTTTAGTGTCAAGCAATCTTTGGAAACTGACCATAGTGTTTCCTGTGTGGTAGGGAAGAAATAATAGGTACATAAATATAAGTATTTGCTGAATTGAAATAAAGCTATTCTATTGATAGATCCAATTAAAATTACAATTCAGGGATGTTTACTTTTAAATATGGATCAGCAAAATATTCTTGACTTCCGAAAGATGCGTCATAACAGCTTAGCTGGTTTTTATGACATAAAACTACTTTTAGTACTATGTTTTAAAATCCCTTAAGAAAAAATAGGCTGAAAAACAAATAAGGTTTTTAAGGCCCTCTCTTAATAGCAAGGTGGCAACTGTTCCCATTTAATTTGGAATTGTATGCCAGCTATTTTTGGTTTCATTTCATAGCATTCTAATTAACATATTTTTTAAAAAAATGAATTTAATTGAATGTACAGAATTCTATTGACTTTAAATAATTTTAGGTACATTCTTGCATGGGACAAACTAGGGACTGAGAATCATAGTTTTTCAGCACCTGTGATACAAACCTTGTAGGACACCTCTGGGTGACTTTCTTAGCTGTCTTTGCCTAGATTAAATGATTTTAAAATGGAAATACATGTTGAGTTTTAAGCTACTGTTCTAACCTCCAGTGCTGTAGTACAGTTCAAGCTTTTGTCTTTGAACCTATAAAAGTAGGCAATTTCCTTTCTGCTCATCCTCTTTCCTCTTCTTGCAAATGAGCTATCTTCATATAGATAATAAAGCAGGGGAAGCAGAAACAGATTGGTTGTCTCAGATGGTGAGTAAAGTCATATACAAAACAAAAAGAGCAGAATATAGGGGTCCTTTCAGCTAAATGGAAAAAATGAGTATTGGATTCATTAAGGAAAAAAGGAGACAAGGATAGTTAGACCCTTTTATGACTACAGGACTAGGTACCTCTGCCATGTTTTCAGCTTATGAATGTAAAAGGCGGTCTTATTTTAGTCCAGAGTACAGAGGGGATAAGCCAAGCTGATTTTACCATATGCTGACCAATGGGAGCTAGAGTCAACCTCAGTGATGCTTACCCACCACAGTCAATGATAATATTCAAAATATGTAATCATGGACTAGAAATAGGCAGCGATCAATCAGCATGGATGTCAATGCGAAATGACTATATTAGTATACTGGTAGACTATATTAGTCTACCAGGTAAATTATCAGCCCTGGATAGAGATAAACTATGTTCAGCAAAATTGTGGCATAAAATTTTAAATTTATGTTAAATATCAATTAGGATGTTATTAATTACTTTACAAAATCGTTTCTATTTGGCTTCTTTAGAATATAACCTATATGTAGTGTACTGAGAGTTATTTGATTTGCATTGGTTTTCAACAGCAATCCTAATGAATGCTCACTTCTTCCTAATGTAGAGGCTAATGTTCTAGTAGGAAGGTTATTGGATCAGTAATTATAAAATCTGAGGCTCAGGCATGGCTTCATCACTTAATAGCTTTATTAACATAATCAGTTCCCTTAGCCTCCTTCAGCGTGTTTCCTCATCTGTAAAATGGAGACAGTGACACTTACTCCACTTCGATGCCGTCATATTCATGAAAGTAGTTTGAAAACTATAAAGTGCTATTATTATTATCACACACTGTAAGAGATGTCACAAGAAGACAGTGAATATAATGAATGAGATTCTGAATGATTTCATTCCCATTGTGTTGCAAACATTAGGTCATTAGAAAAGGTCCCTAGCATTCAAAGACCAACACACATGTTTCTCATTGTTCTTATTTTGTATGTCTCCCTAGGAGTGAAAATGGAAGAATTTCTGCCCCCTGGTGCTAGTCTAAAATGCACCGTCTGTAGCTACACTGCTGATTCTGTGATCAACTTTCACCAACACCTGTTCTCCCATCTCACTCAAGCTGCCTTCCGATGTAATCACTGCCATTTCGGCTTCCAGACTCAGAGGGACTTATTGCAGCACCAGGAGCTCCATGTCCCTAGCGGCAAACTTCCCAGAGAAAGTGACATGGAACACTCTCCAAGTGGAACCGAAGACAGCTTACAGCCAGCCACAGACTTACTGACCAGAAGCGAACTTCCCCAGAGCCAAAAGGCCATGCAGACTAAAGATGCGAGCTCTGACACAGAGCTGGACAAGTGTGAGAAAAAGACTCAGCTCTTTCTCACAAACCAGAGACCAGAGATACAGCCTACAACAAATAAACAAAGCTTTTCTTACACAAAAATAAAGTCTGAGCCCTCTAGCCCAAGACTTGCCTCATCTCCAGTTCAGCCTAATATTGGGCCTTCTTTCCCTGTGGGCCCTTTCCTATCTCAGTTTTCTTTCCCCCAAGATATCACCATGGTCCCTCAAGCTTCAGAGATCTTAGCCAAGATGTCTGAACTGGTGCATCGGCGACTGAGGCATGGCAGTAGTAGCTACCCTCCTGTCATCTACAGCCCCTTGATGCCCAAGGGGGCTACTTGTTTTGAGTGTAACATAACATTCAATAATTTGGATAATTATCTAGTGCACAAAAAGCATTATTGCAGCAGCCGATGGCAGCAGATGGCTAAGTCCCCAGAGTTCCCTAGTGTGTCAGAAAAGATGCCTGAAGCTTTGAGTCCCAACACCGGCCAAACCTCCATAAACCTTCTCAACCCAGCTGCTCATTCTGCTGATCCTGAGAATCCACTTCTTCAAACATCTTGCATCAATTCTTCCACTGTCTTAGATTTAATTGGGCCAAATGGGAAGGGCCATGACAAGGACTTTTCCACTCAAACTAAGAAGCTCTCCACCTCCACTAACAATGATGACAAAATTAATGGAAAACCTGTTGATGTGAAAAATCCCAGTGTCCCCTTAGTGGATGGGGAAAGTGACCCAAATAAGACTACCTGTGAAGCTTGCAACATTACCTTCAGCCGGCACGAAACATACATGGTCCACAAACAGTATTACTGTGCTACTCGCCACGACCCTCCACTAAAGAGGTCTGCTTCCAACAAAGTGCCTGCCATGCAGAGAACCATGCGCACACGCAAGCGCAGAAAGATGTATGAGATGTGCCTACCTGAGCAGGAACAAAGGCCTCCACTGGTTCAGCAGAGATTTCTTGACGTAGCCAACCTCAGTAATCCTTGTACCTCCACTCAAGAACCCACAGAAGGGCTAGGAGAGTGCTACCACCCAAGATGTGATATCTTTCCAGGAATTGTCTCTAAGCACTTGGAAACTTCCCTGACGATCAACAAATGTGTTCCAGTTTCCAAATGTGACACTACTCATTCCAGTGTTTCCTGCCTAGAGATGGACGTGCCCATAGATCTCAGCAAAAAGTGTTTATCTCAGTCTGAGCGGACGACCACGTCTCCCAAAAGGCTGCTGGACTATCACGAGTGCACTGTGTGCAAGATCAGTTTTAATAAGGTAGAAAACTATCTGGCCCACAAGCAGAATTTCTGCCCGGTTACTGCACATCAGCGTAATGACCTGGGTCAACTGGACGGCAAAGTGTTTCCGAATCCAGAAAGCGAACGAAACAGCCCTGATGTCAGCTACGAAAGAAGCATAATAAAATGTGAGAAAAACGGGAATTTGAAGCAGCCTTCCCCCAATGGAAACCTATTTTCATCCCACCTAGCAACCCTGCAAGGCTTGAAGGTCTTTAGTGAAGCCGCTCAGCTCATTGCTACAAAAGAAGAAAACAGACATTTGTTTCTTCCACAATGCCTTTACCCTGGAGCAATAAAGAAAGCAAAAGGAGCCGACCAGCTTTCTCCATATTATGGAATCAAGCCAAGTGATTATATTTCTGGTTCTCTTGTCATCCATAACACTGACATCGAGCAAAGCACAAATGCAGAAAATGAATCTCCTAAAGGCCAGGCTTCCTCAAATGGGTGCGCTGCGCTGAAGAAAGATTCTCTACCATTGTTGCCCAAAAATCGAGGAATGGTAATAGTGAACGGTGGACTGAAACAAGATGAGAGACCTGCTGCCAACCCACAGCAAGAGAACATTTCCCAGAATCCTCAGCATGAAGACGACCACAAATCTCCCTCATGGATCTCTGAGAACCCATTAGCTGCCAATGAGAATGTCTCACCAGGAATTCCCTCAGCAGAGGAACAGTTGTCTAGTATAGCAAAAGGTGTGAATGGTTCCACCCAGGCTCCAACCAGTGGGAAATATTGCCGGCTGTGTGATATCCAGTTCAACAACCTTTCAAACTTTATAACTCACAAGAAGTTTTATTGCTCATCACATGCAGCGGAACATGTCAAATGAACTAACTGAATAAACATCAGTCACCTCTGGTATCAGTGTTTAGTATGTTGTTCTAACCAGTCCAGAAAAAAAAAAAAAGCTATTTGAATTACATCTGGGCAATCAGGAGATAATTCATTATGGCTGAGTTGAAGACTTGAGGTGTAATTTCATTACAGTCCATTAGTAAAGTGTATTATTGGTGCCATTTTCAAAAAAAATTAATTTATTTTACCAGCAGTATTCATAGCTGTGGTTATGTTATTTTTTATTTAAAAACTTTATATTAAAGTCATTTGTAATGTTATTGTATAGTTATTGTGTAGCACATATGGTTTGCACTGTATAGTAGCTTTTAAAGAAAATAGTCACAAACAATACAGAAAATCATTTTAGAAATAGCTTCAAAAGCACTTGTGTATCTTGATTTTTTCTTATATGCTGTTGCAGATATATGTATGTGCTAAAATATAACTTGCAAAGATGTTCTAAATACACATGCTATAAGTTCGCCTTAAGATTTCAATTCTTGGATAATCAGGCTCCGTTTGCACTTTATATTTTAGCAGATACAGTCTCTTAGTCACTAGGCTTTGCATTTGTATGTAGCTGTATGTTTCTGTCCATTTTCTTAATCCTAAACCTGTATGTTAAATGAAGATGGCAATTTTTTTCTTGTATAGTACTTGGATTTTCTTTCGCTGATGCAGCTCTGTCTCAATTTTTAAACCTTTGCTGTTAAATGCAATACTTTATAAAGAATGAACAAAATTACTGGAAGCAGTATTGTAAGTAATGAGGTAGTATTAATCAGTTTTATCTTTTGAAAGGCACAGTCTAAATCGAAACCCTAAACTCAATGCTGCAAGTATGAATTTAATTCATATATAAGATCTATTTAAATATAAGAGTAGCAATACTGCACCTGGTGATCGCAAAGATAATGTTCTACTTCTGATAGAAATAATTTCTCAACAAATGTTGTTACTATGCATGTATATGGATGGAATAAAATTCCAGATTGTTGGAGGAGTTTGGCGTACTTTTTTTCCCTTTAAAATAGAAGAGAAACCCTAAATCTATTCCTTGTGATGAGAATAGTTTCAAAATGGCACTGAATAGCTGTATTAACACAATGACAAATCAGTAAAGAGAAAGATTGTCCTTTACATACACCTAATTAATATAACTTACTCTATTAAAATGAACTAGAGGCTCCAGGCCATGAAACTAGAAAAGTTCTTCATTATAACTATGTATAATTAGCAGAATCTCTCTGTCTGCCTTTCCACATAATCACTACAGCACAGATAAAGAGCAGTTTCATGTGTGTCTACAAAACTTACAAGTCATATGCACAAGAATCAACACAAATGTTGGTCAAATGCACCCAAGATTCAGATGAAGTTTACCAGAGAGAGGTTTGCATTTTGAGGAACGGTGATGTGGTATGGTAAAGTGACTCTGATGAGTAAAGATGTGCAAATCTCATGCTTGGGATTTGTACATTTGTATAATCCAGGAGTTTGCATATTGAGGGGGAGCGGAGAGCAGAGAATGTGGGCCCAATGGGCCAGCCAGAGACATTGAGAGTGACTCGGCAGACATGATGATCTCCCGCAAAATTAGGAATCTCCTGACTTAGAAAGGCAACTACCCACTTAAGGCTAAGACACACTCTTTACAGATAGGTTGTGATGCACTATGATTCATCCATATTGAATCTGGTAACATAACGAACATAAATGTTGGCCTTAAGCATAACATACAAATACTGTAACAAAACATAAAAAAAAATGCTATGTTGTCAAAAAACGTTTCTCCAGTTGCTCGTTGAGAATAACTATTTTCAGAATTGAAATCATGGGCTTAACTGATGCTTTCCATTTCAGTCAATGATTAAACACTGAGGTGAACAGAACTAAGGTGCTTAATAGTGTGTAACAGGAATCTCTCAAATTATCAGATCCTTGGGGATCAATGGAGATGTTCAGAAAGACCTGTGTGGTGCACAGGTTGGAACTGGTAAGGCTGAGTATTCTTAAGAGGGCTTTCTTCCCCAATCTCTTTTTCATCTTCTTTCCTCTTCAAAAAGAAAGAAAAAAAAATAACCAAATCAACATATATTTATTGATTACGTGGCTTGTATCCACTATTTAGGGGATGAAGGCAAAGAAATATAACACATGACTCTTTTCTCAAAGAGTTTATAACTTGATTCAATTTAGTGCTTCTCAACACTTATCTCACTAGAATTGCCTAAGGAATATTTAAAAATGCCAATTATGTATATATTTTTGTACGTTGGGCCTTACCCTAGATCAATTGGAGAAACACTCAAGCCTGTGAGCTCTGAGAATCTATATCTTGTAAAACCTGTCCAGGTGGTTCTAATATGCAAACAGTGTTGGGAAATACTGAAAGGTAAATTAGAAGGAAACATGAAGGATAAATGAGACTAAGTATAGTAAAAGTATAGTAAAAAGATAAAAGGAACCAATATGAGGTGATAGAGCTGGGGCAGGCTGCACAAATAGGGTAGGTTCTGGAGAGGGGGATACCGTGGTAAGGAAGGCTACCTTTAGGCCACCCTGAGATATTTGTACAGTGTATCCACAGGGTGTTTATTTCAAGTATTGTTTGTCTAGTTGAAAGTAAGTTCTAATAGCTGTTCACAGAAAGAAGAACATAGTGTAGGTTGAAGTAGTGACATTTGGATCAGAACTAGACCGTGGAGAGTGTAGAGGAGGAAAATGATATTTCTACATGTGGCAATCACTGTATGTTACAGTACAAAAGTGGAATGCAACTGGCATGTGAGGATGAAAAGTGAGTAAAACATTTTTCAAAAGAAGAGAGTTTAGATTGGAAAGAAAAGGAAGCTAAAGTGGGAGGATTGCTCAAGCCCAGGAGTTGGAGACTGCAGTCCCTTATGATCACGCCTGTGAATAGTCACTGTACTCATGCCTGGACAATGTAGCAATACCCAATCTCTAAAAAATAAAAAATAAATGTAAAAAAGAAAAAAAAGTATAAATAGGGATCTGGTATCACCATGCCAGACCTTGAGTGGCAGACTTAAGTTTTATGGACTAAGGTTTATGGACTTGCCTTATACTTTGCCTCTTAAATAGGGTCAAAAATGAAAACTATGTTTAGGAATGGTAATAGAGTAAGTATGAGGTCTAGATGCTACACAGAGGAAGTTTATTTAGAAGTCCATAGTGATGTTTTCAAATGAGGGGGCGGGAAATGAGAGCCTCTACCAGGTGAATGGAGAAGCACAAGCGTGGGTACAAGATTTAATGTGGGTACAATGAATTAATGAGTAACCATCAAGACTTGGTACAAGTTAGTGAAGATGAAATCAAACAAGAAGCCAAATATCTTCAACCCACACTGATTTAAAAAATGACCCATGTTCAATAAACATTGAAGTCAGAATATTATCGGTTGAGTAATCTAGTTGAAGAGTAGTAAAAAGAACCATGGTTTATATCAGTTCTTCAGCTTGTGGTATCTCAATCGTCTACAGAATTCTAAAGCCTACTAAATGAGAACAGCTTAGTTTTCAAGTTTTTTGTTTGTTTGTTTGTTTTTTAACAAAGCAATCTTAGGGTATTCTTTGTTGTTTTCTCTTGGCTACAATGAAGAACCTTTGAATTAAACAGAGAGAGTGGGAAGCTGTGTGCGAAATTAGTTAAGCTGGCAGCAGATTTTAGTATATAATTGGTCTTTCAAGTGCTTATTTCTAATACGTAACACATTTCAGTGTTTAAAACTACTATAATTTAAAATAATTCAACATATATGTTTTAATATTGAAATTGAAATGGAAAATCAAGTTGTTATGGAATCTGTGAGCACTATTTGAAAACTTTATAGCCAGTAAGAATGCTCTTATTTTCAGGCAAAACTAAGGTTTAGAGATTTTAAGTGCTCAAAGTTATAAAGCTAATAATTGAGAATCAGATACCTGGATTTTGCCCTCCGACTACCTGCTAACATCATGTTCTTTCCTTCATTAAAACAGAAGGCAAAGACTAAGGCATGTGATGGTATCAATGTTATCCAAATGTCTTGGTCTCCAATCTATGTTTTGAAAGAAAGGCAACATTTCCCTTCAAATGCGTAAATTTCAATGGCTTAAGCCTCCACCAGCTTGTATGCCAGAATATGGACTAATAAGCTATTGAGATTTTCCCAGTGTGGCGACCCTTTTGAGACTGCTCTTGGATGGGCTGAGGGGAGTCACCGCCACCTTCTCCAGGTAAGGACCACTGCTTTCACACTCGGGTTTCAAGGGAAGAGACACTGCTCTCCCCTTACCACATAATCACCAGCATCAGATATGCCTCACTCTTAATAACACAGTCCATCAGTATTTCCTTAAAGTTCAGGAAAGATAGAAGAGAAAAGCAATGTACAGAATACCCCTCAAGTACTCCAGTGACCCAAATCTAACCCCCAGCTTTCTTGCAGGATGACCACCTGAACTCTCTGCACCATAAGTGGATCCACACCTCTTGTGTTAAAGTGTCCTAAACAATTTCACAGTAGGACCCAAAGAGAAGCAGGTTTTCGCTCATCCTAGTCACAGGTTCACCTCTGGAATACTCACTTCCTGCCTTAATGCTGACCCTTTTAAAGTTCCCCCTTCTTATCCTTCTAGCCACACCACATTAGATTCCACAAGTCATCACGACAATCAGGTCAAGGGCTGCATATCTTAAAAACAGAGGCATCAGTAGTCAGTCTGATACATTTACACAGTGAATTCACTGCCTTTGAGGCCTCTTCTCATTTTCTTTGAGAAAGTGCTTAAAGAAGAAAACATATAAAATAGGTCAATGAGAAAAAATTGAAAGTACAGGCAAAGGGTAATTTAAATCCATACTTAGAAAGGAAACATTTCTCTAATGAAAACTGTAAAAACAAAGCAAAAACAAAAAGAAGAACTATTCATTTCATAAGCAAATTTTTTCTATTAATTTATAGAATGGTTGAGGTTCTTGAAGTTGCCATATCTCAAATATTTTCATTCAGAAACATGTCTATTTGTTCCTGTCACCCAGTAAGGTTAA